TTGTTCTCCTGCTCCAGTATATCGACGCGCTGCTTGAACTCGTCCCGCTCGCGTTGCGCTTTGGCAAGCTGATTCTTATCTGCTTCCTTCTGTTGGCGAAGGAGCAGTTTCCGTGTCTCCTTCTCGCGGCGCTCCTCGAGTTTGCGCATCTCTTTCTCGAACTTCTCTTTCTGTTTCTTCTTCTCCCTCTCGTGCTTCTCATTCGCTTTTTGCATGTCCGCATTCGCCTTCTGGCTCTCAGCTTGTAGGCCCGACTCCTGCTTCTCGCGCGCTTGCTCAAGTTTCGCCTTCAACTGTTCCTTCTTTTCTTCAATCTTCTGTAGGCCTTTGTGATGTGGGCTGTCTTCTGTTAACGGCAGGGACTGTTGCGACGAAGTTGATGGTGTCGGGATCTCTCGATCGATTGGGAGTCCTTCGCGGGCAGTAGTGAACTGTTCTGCAGATGCGAAAGAATCGCCGGAAGACGACGAGCTTGAGGAGCTATCGGATCTTGTGCGCTGTAAGCTGTATTGGCTGCCAGCCTCCCCAGTCTTGTCCACTATGCTGGTTCCGACTCCGGCGCCCATACCGTTCGCCTCAGTTGCGGAGAATGTGCGCCCAGTGTCGTGCGCTTTGGGCGTCTCCGCGGAGTCGTCTTTGCCTGCCATTCCATCTGCCTCGACGTTGTCGTCTTTAGCACACGCCCAGTCGAGGAATTTGACTGCGTCCTGGACTATGCTGCTAGGCACATTCCGCTCGACCATGAATCGAGGAATTCCACCACCAGGGTCACTGCGGGTGACCATGATCCACTCGATAGGATTGGTCTCTGCGTCGCCGTCGCCCATGGGTATCTCCCTGATCATCTCGATCGACTCGTAGAAGCCTCGCACCATGTTGCTTCGCGGCGGCGCATCGGGATGTGAACAGGGTATGGAAACTACCATGAAGTGTCGCGGTGTTGAGTTGGCGACTTTGGAAGCATCGGTAAGACACGTATCCGAGGTGATGAGTAGGGTGATGAACTCTCGCGGTGAGGTCGGGCCAGGGAACTGAGCGGACAGCTGGTAGACTGCGTCTATGTTAGTTGCTATAGGCGGCTGCAGATATTCGCTCTCCCATACCTTGCAGTTGACCAACGCCGTCGACTGTCATATCCTCTAGCCGCTGGTCGCCTCCAATGCCTCGTATATTGCCCTCGCCGGGGCCACCCTGGACTTCCAGACTCTCCGGGAACTCCCTCTTCATGGCGCGCTTCCACTTCTCGAACCCGAGGCCCTCGTGTACGCTCGAGCGCGAGAACCAGGCTCCGTGTCTGTCCTTTCCGGCCATCTTGTAGACGCTCATGCCTGTAGCAGCGTCATTGTTTCCTAGCTTCACAGGCTTTCCCCATGATTTCTGTAGTTCTTCATGCTCTGGCGCAGGTGGTGGCCGGCGGACTTGGGAGATTGTGAGGTCCTTGGAACCTGTCGCAGGTTCTTGCTCGGTTCGGGTTCGTTGTGACGACTCGTAAGGCGTTCCATTGGGTGGTGGAGGCACGGAATTTGCGATCACTTCTGCTTTGGCCAGTATTTCGGATAGGAATGCTTGGAGGTTGTCGGTAGGGACGTCGCTGAACTCTTTCGGCCGAAGGCACGCGAGCGCTTCGTGTAGCTCCGACATGATGATGTCTGACGGAAAGATGGGGCTTGGAAAGATCTGGGGGAAGAAGCGACGAAGGATTCAAAGCCACAGGATACCTAGACCCTTTGTGGCTGCTCCCAAGCTATATGTGTGTTGTGAATGTTCCGACGTACCCGTGGTGCCAGCTAGTAGGGTCCGGTGACGGATAATGAAATCATTACCTGCGATTATCGATTCAATTTGCAATGAAGATGGAGCTTGAGAAAGAACTAATAATGAGTAGCAAACTAGGCGAGCAGTTTTCCGATGCTGAATCGCGAGGCCTCCGGTCGATGTGGCAGTTGTTTGCATGTGCAGGTATAGTTGATGCAACGTCATCCCTGCACCCGCGTCGCTCGCTCTTTCCAATCCGCGACGCGTGACGCGGGGTCGCCCGCCACGCCACCGACGTATCAATCCCTGGCCGCCCTGCATACGAATACGACGGCAGCCACTACGTCACATATGGCAAAGCTTGCGAAATTGCGACCCTCCAGGGCTCACTTTTGCTAGCCTTTTGACTTGGTATAGCACTCGATGAAACGCACCACGCGGATATAGTGTAAGAGGAATATTCTATTTATCTAAGACGCGCTGGACATGTAGAGAGGGGTATTTCGCAGGTCTAGCTAATGCAGCAAATCAACCTATTCCAGAGCAACAATCCATGAACTACACAAGTACGTATAAAGCACACATCTGCCAAACTGTTAGTCTTTATGGACATACGCCGAGAATTCACAACTTACCATGCTAAGCCCCAAGATCATGCTGCACCAAAAGAGGACGTTGTTCAGCAGAGTGCGGCCTCTAACCCACTTGCTCCGTTGCAACATTACAATCGGCATCTGGAGCATCATCGCGACGAAACCGTAGCCTCTAAACTTTCGTGTAATGCAGCCCATGACAAGCTCATGCGCCAACGCAGAGATGAGGAAGGTGATTGTCGTAGCCAGAGGACGCGACATGTGGTTCTTAGACGCAGAGTAGACGTGTCGTCGGAAGAAATGGTGACTAAATCACAACGCGTCCAGTCAGTATGTGTCTCACATGCGACTCGTACAGGAATTTGGCTTACACAGGCTTGTTCCATTCGCGCGAGAATTCCAACCAGTCACAGCTGTTCCACCAGTCTGCATAGAATTGACGGTCGGCAAAGCCTGCAACTCGTTAGCAGCGGCCACTGGGCTTGGTAGTGGAAACTCACGTGTTATCTCTGCAAAAGCACCCAGGATGTACTCAAAGATGACGAGGAAGACTAGCAGGAAAGTAATCATGAACGGGAATAATAGGCGACCGATAGTCTCGCTGAGAATCAACGTGAAATCCGTAGCACCACTGGAATTTTGAAGTCGGACAGCCGATACGTCCAGCACTGGGAGGATGAACTCCTCGGCGGTAATGACCATCAAAAAGATGCATCCGAATACGGCAAGGGTCTTGTAGAAGACTTCCAACCAGCGAATGCTAGCGTTCCTCGGGTACTCCAGCTCGTAACACAAGGTTGGGCAGAAGATAAAGTCGACAAAGTTATACAGGGTGAGGTTGTTGGGGTAGGAGACGTTACCAAGAGGCGAAGCAAGCTCCAATGCGAGATCATCTCTCAGCTGGCCAAGATACTCTGCATTTGCCTTCTTCGGGTCGGGCTCCTCCTGTGAGGGCGATTGCGGGATCTCGTGCAGATGAGTGCTCGAGCTTGGATAGCGCACTGCAGCTACCTTGCTGGCCTTGTCGGGTGTATCAAGATCGTTCAAGCGACGTAGAGTTTCGCTAAGATGACCGTTGTAGAAACTTCACAAGGTTAGCTATGCAACCGAAGCTCTAGTTACTTGATGCCATACGCGTAAGAGTGCATCTTCATGAAAATCGCAAGCAGATGCAAGGTGAAGAAGACCTGCGCGGTCCAGCTCCAGTCGCGAATGAAAGGGTATCTTTGTATTGGTCAGTCTGCAGTAAAATTCATAACTAGGGACAGCGTACGTAGTCCAAAACGCGAGCCAAATTGCCTGAAATATGCTTTGTATAGCTATGCCAGACGTGTTCCAGCGTAGAGACCCCTGTTTGAGAAACAGCCTCTGGAGTGGCAGCGACAGGGCGGTGCTGAACACCATGGCACCGTCAACTAGACCAAGCTCGACAACCTTCTCCTTGAACAGCGCCCACTGTCTCATCTGGAAGGGGTATCCGGTCTCGGTCATGTTGCGTAGCATCGATGTAATGACCATGATGGCAAGTCCGATCCAGAACAGGACGAAGAAGCCGCGGAAGTCATGGTAGTCGCTGTTCGGGTCGAAGTGAGAGACGCGATCCACGTAGTCGATGGTAGGGAACATGCGCTGCTTGTGCTGGGCGCGTATCTGCCTGCGTGCGGACGAGGAGGCCTGGACGGAAGGCGGGGCATCGTCGGGTATGGGTGTGCTTCTTCCACTGCTGAGGTTAGCCATGTGTCGCGTCGTAAGCAGTGCCCATGTACCTAGAGATGCCTGAGCCGGGCTCCCGGAGCGTGCCATTCTTGTTAAACGCCTCGTCGCTGAGTTGGGGCTTGAGCAAGTCGATTCTCGTGGGTTTGCGCGGTCGCGGCGAGTGGAAGTCCGTGTTGCCGTTGTGAGCATTCGCGTCAAAAGACGTAGACTCGGCCATTATGAGGAGACGTATATGCGCATGTCACGGAGGAGGAGTGGGAAGGAGGATTCAAGTGTGGACAGGCCAGACTATGATCCGCAACTAACAGGGTCACTGGCTGTGTCAGATGGGGCAGTGAGTGGCAGACGAGGCTTCCGGACAACCGCTCGACACAAACAGGTAATGGAGAGGTAATCGGCTTGCATTTGATACGTATATATGCTACAAGGAATATGCAAGTACATGCGGTCTGCTGATGTAGTGGTGGCCTAGCGACTCGGAGAGTTGGCAATGATGGTCGAAGGGTCGGTTACATCAGCGGCCGCGCGAGTCAGTGCGGGCGTCTTGGGAGCAGTGCCAGGAACGGTCGTGTTTCTTGGTACGTAGAGTAACATGCAAAGTAGTTATATCTCAGGGGGTTTGGTTAGGATATTGCGTCAAAATCTATGCGCATCAAAGACAGTCCGAGTTCAGGGTAGAGTAGAGTCTAGGCATGCGTACCCGTTGGTGGTGGCAGGTGCGTCCGACCTCTGGACTCTGGAACAAATGACGGCCCGGCCAGCTGTAGGCCATGCCCAAACGTTCCGCCTACCAACGCGCAGCCAGGACAATTCACATAGTCGCCCGTGACCAATCCATAATACCCATCGACGGCCGAATACTATTCCCGTCCTCGCCAGCCTCTTTCCCATCGAACCCTCTTTCGCTGTCCGGGTGGGGTCCAAGAGGCCACCGCAATGGCTTCCTGTACGCCAAGCACCGCGACCCCCCAGCAGCTGAGGACTTGTGCTAAGGATATACAGTGAAGCAGTTTATTCGCAATGTGCGCGCTGCAAAGACAATTGCCGACGAGCGTGCAGTCGTGCAGAAAGAGAGTGCCGCCATCCGCGCCAGCTTTAGGGAGGAGAGCCACGACTCCAACGTGAGGAGGAACAATGTCGCAAAGCTACTTTATCTCTTCACTCTGGGCGAGAGGACACACTTTGGTCAAATCGAATGTCTGAAGCTGCTGGCTTCTCCGCGCTTCGCCGACAAGCGGTTGGGATATCTGGGGACCATGTTGCTGCTTGACGAGAACCAGGAAGTCTTGACACTGGTGACGAACTCGCTGAAGAAGTAGGCAATGATGCACCCTCTGATATGGATCTGCATGCTAAACAATGTGTAGCGACCTGAACCACCCCAACCAGTACATCGTCGGCCTCGCCCTCTGCACGCTCGGTAACATCGCCTCCGTCGAAATGGCTCGAGACCTGTTCCCGGAAGTCGAAACGATAATATCGAGCGCGAACCCATACATACGTCGCAAAGCCGCAATCTGCGCCATGAGGATATGTCGGAAAGTGCCCGACCTCCAGGAACACTTCTTGGAGAAGGCCAAGTTGCTACTACAAGACCGAAACCACGGCGTCTTGCTGTGTGGCGTCACCCTAGTAGAGAACCTCTGCGAGGCGGACGAGGCCGAGGATGACGAGAACGGCGTCAGGGACATCTTCAGACCCATGGTGCCCAGCCTAGTCAAGATATTGAAGGGGCTCTCCTCGTCTGGCTATGCGCCGGAGCACGACGTAACCGGCATTACAGACCCTTTTCTGCAGTGCAAGCTACTCCAACTTCTGCGAGTTCTGGCCCGTGGCGATGCGCAGGTTAGCGAGCAGATCAACGATATCCTGGCCCAGGTCGCGACCAACACAGACTCCTCGAAAAACGTCGGCAACTCCATCTTGTACGAGGCTGTACTCACAATCCTCGATATCGAAGCAGATTCCGGACTTCGCGTGCTTGGTGTCAACATCCTAGGAAAGTTCTTGTCAAACCGTGACAACAACATCAGATATGTTGCGCTCAACACACTGATCAAGGTTGTCGCAGTCGAGCCAAACGCCGTGCAGAGACACCGCAACACCATCCTGGATTGTCTACGGGATCCTGATATTAGTATTAGACGGCGAGCGCTTGACCTCAGCTTTACCCTGATCAACGAGAGCAATGTGCGAGTACTGATTAGGGAGCTCCTTGCTTTCTTGGAGGTTGCTGACAACGAGTTCAAACCTGTCATGACCTCCCAGATCGGGGTCGCAGCAGACCGCTTCGCGCCAAACAAGAGGTGGCACGTTGATACCATGCTGCGCGTGCTGAAACTCGTAAGTCAGTCATGTTCCTGTAAGCCGCATGTAACTAATCCACGCATCAGGCCGGAAACTATGTCAAAGAACAGATTCTGTCCTCCTTTGTACGACTGATCGCTACCACACCTGATCTCCAGACCTATTCCGTACAGAAACTCTATGCGGCCTTGAAGGAAGACATCACACAGGAGGGTCTCACACTAGCCGGTTCCTGGGTCATTGGAGAGTACGGTGATGCACTGCTTAGAGGTGGTCAGTACGAAGAGGAAGAGCTTGTTAAGGAAGTCAAAGAAAGCGACGTCGTCGATCTCTTCGAAACCATCCTCGGTAGCAGTTACGCCGGCCTTATCGTCCAACAGTACATCGTCACAGCCTCTATGAAACTCACGACACGTTTGAGCGATCCTGCTCAGATTGAGCGTTTACGACGGTTATTACAACGATATGCGGCAAACCTTGACGTTGAGATTCAACAGCGTGCAGCCGAATACGGCAACTTGTTCGGCCACGACCAGATTAGGAGGGGCGTCCTTGAGAAGATGCCACCGCCTGAAATCCGCGAAGAGTCACGAGTTCTGGGCGAAGCGACCAAGAAACGACAGTCGAAGATTGCGAAGAAGAAGCCTGCGCAAGCAGCGACAGAAGACTTGCTACTGGACCTCATGGGCGATGCAGGCCCGTCGACCAGCATGAATGGGGCGGCCAATGGAACTCAACAGAGCCAGGACTTGCTTGCAGACATCATGGGCGGGTCTTCATCACCGCCACAAACATCCTCCCCTGCACCACAATCGAACGTGGCCAACATCATGGATCTCTTCAACTCCGGAGCTAGTAGCTCACCAGCCCCAGCGCAGTCTCAGGCACCGCCGGCAGGTAACTCCATGGACCTTCTGGGCGGGCTCGGCGGTATGTCCTCGCCACCACCACAAGCTTCAGCACCGTCGGTGGCCTCAGGCCCACCCGCGCATCCAGCGTACAACAAGAACGACCTACAGATCACCTTCCAGCTCAAGCGTGACGCAAACGCCGTGCAACTTCTCGCACGTTTCCGCAATACTGGAAGCTTTGGCCAGCTGTCAGGTGTGAATCTACAAGCCGCTGTACCAAAGAGTCAAAAGCTGCAGCTACAACCTATCAGTACCAGTGAGCTGGAGGGAGGCCAAGATGCGACCCAGCAGATGAGGGTCACAGCTGTCAATGGGGTAAGTCATTCTCAGATGTATTATATATGGATAACATACTAACAGACCCAGCCCCCACCCGCAAGGCTAAAGCTCCGACTCAAGATCAGTTACTCGGCAGGTGGTGCTCCAGTAACAGAGCAGGTTGACTGGGCCGAGCCGACATGATCGCAACGCACACTTTTGGTAGTAAAATCTTCAAGTAGCGAGCAGTATAGAGCAAATGACATACCCGAGCGATGATGGCATGCACAAAAGACTAGATCCAGCGCAAGGCTTTCGTGCGCGCATCTTTGACGAACATATCAAGTGCTGAGCGTGGAGCGAGTTCTTTAGTTTTAGTGTATACTCGAACTGGATCGCAAGATTGCTTCGGGGGACGCCTAATCTTCATGTTTGGATTGCGCAAGCACCAGTCGCCCTCTGCACCTGCCGCAGTAACCCGACAGAGGTGGAAATAAGATGCGGGATTAGCGCCTCAAGCCATCCGCGCCCGCTTTTCCGGTAGATCCCCCCGCCATTGCCAGGAACATCGACTTGTTGAGTGGCTTCTCTCTTCTGCACAACCGTTTCTCCACAGCACTCGACCATTCCAAAGCGGGATTGCTGCCCATTAAGGAATGTTTTGTGTCGAGAAGACATCATTTACACACGTATCGCGAAGACGGCAGCAGGTGATGCACGACCAGGGATTAACACAGATTCTGGGATCGACATGATAGCACGCACCAGCGCCTGCATACTATAAACCTTGCCAGCCACTCACTTTTGTCACTACAGCGGTCACCCTGTCTCGTCATGCGCCCCAAGAAGTTCGGTTCGCATTAGCACGAGGGGATCGCGGGTACCCAGCCTCACAATGCCTGCTGCCAGTATCTGTCTATGCCTGTATAGAGCTACTACCTTCCTTATTCAGCGTTACATGGGACGTTATAATGGTGTTCCGATATTCCCGAAGTCCTGGATCTGGCTGCAAGACTTGCAGTAGAGAGGGAACGTGATGCAATTGCCAATAGACGTGTCTTGGTCGTGATCCACTATGAGCAGGTGCTTATCCTCCCAGATCTGCTTCTATTACTTAGACACGACCTTCTGTCCTCTGTTTTAACGTTCATCTTCATTGGAGACGGTGAAGATATCCATACCTGAACTTTGTTGGTCTCTCATCAAACTGAGTAGCAACCGGCCCGAACGGTATCCCTGACATTCAACATATTTGTATAAGAGGCTTCGGGGACCACAAGCGTCTGTGGAAGATCAGACGCTTGAACGCAATGCTTCTCACGTCTGTCGCGCTCGGAAGTGGCCTTTTGTCTCTGGTGTCGGCTTTACCATCGAACACACCGGTAGACTTACCAAGGAGACAATATGAGACCACTCCACCAACATACGATCCTGTATCACCTGATCAGAGAGCGCAAGCTGTAATCGACACCTTCAGAATAAGCTGGGATGGATACCGCCAGTATGCGTTCCCCATGGATGAGCTGAGGCCTGTGGGCAACAACGGGAGTAATTCGAGGTATGTATCGAATCTTTATACCAGAAAGCAAGTTGTGCTAAACTCGTCTCAGGAATGGGTGGGGTGCCTCTGCCGTCGACGCTCTCAGCACAGCACTCATCATGGGCCAGAAAGACATTGTGAACGAAATCATAGAATACATCCCCAGCATCAACTTCGCGTATACTGAGGATCCAGTCTCTCTATTCGAGACCACGATCCGATACCTTGGCGGCATGCTGTCCGGCTATGACTTACTCTCCGGTCCTTTAGCGCACCTCGCAGACGATCCAGCAAATGTAGAAGCCCTTCTCACGCAATCCGTCAACCTGGCCAACAATCTTTCTTATGCATTCGAGACACCCACAGGTATACCCTGGAACATCCTCACCTTCAACAACCGAAGCAACGTCGATCAAGAGAATGGACTCGCAACTGTCGGCACATTGATCCTTGAATGGGTCCGCCTCGCGGATCTCACCGGGAACCAAACATATGCGGATCTGGCCGAAAAAGCAGAACAATACCTACTCTTCCCATCTCCCGACTTCGCCGAACCGTTCCCTGGACTCCTGGGCATGGGAATCAATGTAACCACAGGGCAGTTCAACGACGCAGTCGGAGGATGGGTAGGCGGCGCCGACTCCTTCTACGAGTACCTCATCAAGATGTACATCTACGACCCACGCTACAGCTTCCTCAAAGAACGCTGGATCACGGCCGTAGACAGTTCCATTGCGAATCTAGCCTCGCACCCAGCACCCCGACCAGATATAACCTTCCTCGCAGCTTTTGAAAACACCACGCTCGACCTGGAATCCCAGCATCTCGCATGTTTCGACGGCGGGAACTTCATTCTAGGCGGTCAAGTCCTCGACAGACAAGACTACATCGATTTCGGCCTCGAACTCGTCAACGGTTGCCACGAGACTTACATCCAAACTGCAACACGCATCGGACCTGAGATCTTCTCCTGGAACACGTCCGCCATACCAGCAAACCAAACATCCTTCTTCAACCGAACTGGCTTCTGGATCGAGAACGCGGGCTACCAACTCCGTCCTGAGGTCATAGAATCTTACTACTACGCCTACCGCGCGACGTCGGATTCAAAGTACCAAGACTGGGCGTGGGATGCTTTTGTTGCGATTAACGCGACGACGAGGGTTGGCAGTGGGTATAGTTCTATCGAGGATGTGAATGTGGTTGGTGGAGGCGAGTTTACTGATTTCCAGGAGAGCTTTTGGTTCGCGGAGGTGCTTAAGTATAGCTATGCGATTCAGGCGGGCGAGGCGGAGTGGCAGGTTGGGAAGGATGGGGTTAATGAGTGGGTTTACAATACTGAGGCGCATCCGGTTAAGGTCTATGGGGGTGGGAATGCGACGAGGGGTTTGTAGGAGGATGGGTCTTGAAGTACGTGGAGATTCTGTGGTAATCGAATTTTGCTGCAGAACAATCTTATTGGCGTCTGGACGCCGGGTATATGATGCAGATGAACGTATTTCCGTGCCGTGACACTACTCGAAGAAACCACCGTCGCTCTCTTCCGCCTCTTCTTGGGCCTGCACGCCGAGTGCTCTCCTCTCGCGACGGTTCTTGGCTGCTGCCAGCTTCTCTTCCACCTTCTTCTCTTTGACCTTGACTGCTTGCTGCAGTTGCGGCTGTGCCTTCTTTTTCGGTTCCTTCTTAGGTACAGCAGCGGGCATGCCCTCCTTGCTATTCCTAAGCGCATCCAATGTGCCTTCTGCCATCGCCTCCTCCACGGCCTTCCACATATCCAAGTCGCCTTTTGGCCCGTCGACCTCGCGGTTAGCTTTGTCATCGGTATCCTCCTCAGCTGCTTCGTCGGAATCTGAGGCCTTGTCCTTCTTCGACTTTGGGTATAGAGATGCGTAGGGTTTCATGAGCGGGTAGTAAATGGCATAGTTGACATCGACTTGAGCGTTGTGCACCTTTCGCGCTAGGTCTTGCTTCTTCGCCTCGTCATCCTCTGCTTCGTGTTCTTTCTTCAGCTTCTTCAATATCCTTGTGCCCTTTTGACGATCTGAGGCGCGTTAGCAAGCGCTTCGTGTTGGATCCCATGCGCCCTGCGCAATCCATAACATACCGAAGAATCTTATGTGATGGTACTTTCCAATCATCTTCTTCCTGTATTCGGCCTCTCTGCTGCTCTCCAGCTTCTCTTGCAGCTCGTGCTGACAGGCTTCGAGCTCCCTCTCCCTCTCCACTCTATTGCCCGCTGACATTTTGTGGTCGCCTACATTGTCGACGTGCGCGAGTAGTCGCTTCAGGTCTCGTATCCGGCTCTTGAGCGCGTTGGTGCTGGTGCTCTTGTCGATGTCGCTCGAGACGTGCGGCCGCTTCTTCGACTTGGTATGACTCTGGCCGGGCTTGAAGGTGCGGTGCTTCTTGAACGGTTTGGGGGCAGATGATGACGACTCGGTCGCTTCGGCATGCTTGCGCTTTTGCGACATGATGGCTGGCTGAGATTTGGGATTTAAGGGTTGTTGACCGGCTGCGGAAATCTTGGGATCGAAGGAAGGGAAGTTTTAGTGGGGCGGCAGAATTAAGGTTGCTTGACCGCCCGATGCGCGCCAAGTGAGATCACGCGTCGGGCGTTCACCCACCTGCAGGCTCCCGATATCTTCCCCTTGCACAGTAACTTAGTAAATTCGAGTGTACTGCAATATGCACACGACACCACTCGCTTCGCGTTCCTTCAGATTACTTCCCACTGATTCATGAGGCTTCCTTATTCTGCTTTCGGACCTTGAACTTCCATTGTCGCTGAACCGCGATAGTCAGCCAGTGAGATGGAAGCTGCAATAAGATGGTCGCCGCACTCGACACGAGACAATCCTCGCTTCCTGATCATTGATGTCGCGGGTAATAGGCTACGTCTTTGTCAAATCGAAGAGTTTAGTAAGAGCAAGGTCAACTATAAGCAGATATGCATTCGAGATAAGCTGCCAAATTACACGGCCTTCGACTGGTCGAAGAAGGACCCGAGCGTAGTTGCTGTGGGTTCTGCTTCTGGAGAGGCTACGATCGTTACATTGGATCCCGACAAACCTGATCACGACTACATCCACTCGTTTTCGATACGACACCAAAGGAAATGCAATTCCATCGCCTTCAGCGCTAAGAATCTACTTGCTACAGGGCTGGATAGAGTCAGGAATGATGTCTGTCTCAACATATACGATATGAACGACTCGCGAGTCACAGCCAAGGATGAACCGTATAAGAAGTTGGCGAGCTCAGAAGCCATCTCTAGCATCAAGTTCTTTAACGGGCAGCCTGATATGCTCGTCGCGGGTGTATCGAGACAATACGTGCGCATCTACGATCTCAGAGGTGGGTCACCAATACAGCAGTAGACATCCCCTGCTCATTCTTCACAGACTCTAGTACCGCGGGCATTGCGCAATTCCAAACGCGCCAGGTGCACAACATCTCTATCGACCCGTTGGACGAGAACTATTTTCTATCAGCGGGGACAGCAGGAGATCCAACTGTAACTGTTTGGGACGCACGCTTCGTCAAGCAACGAGTCGCATCTAACGACAATGCGAGCGGAGGTGCCGTCCTGGAGTTCAAGCCAGTCGTAGACAACTCACAGTCAGCTTCTATATGGAGTCTTCGGTACTCTGGTACCAAGCGAGGT